AATTTGAGTGCGGACAGTGATCTGTTTGCTTTATCGTCGGTCAAACATCGTAAACCGAATTGTCTCAATCTTAGTGGGACGGATGTAGTACTATTTTAGCTATTTTCACAATATATATGCTTTTAATTCAACACATTTAGACAATTTGATCTGAACTTGATAAAATTTAACAAAACCAATTGATTCAATCAATATCATGTTATCAAAAAGGCTCTTCAAGTCTTGAGCTATACTACAAGTTTTGCGAGCAGTTTTTTGAAGTACAAAGTGAGTAAGAGAAGAGATAGGGTGAAAAGAGAAGGAAGGAGATGTACTCATGGACTCTTCCACAAGCGTGCAAGAGAAGAGCATACTTCTTACTGTCTATCCTTTTCCACTACATTTTCATCGGTCTATAAATGTTTTTATTGAAAATTTATAATGTTTAGTTAAAAAAAATTGTTTCTCATCGTAGTATGCCTTGATTTTGTTCCTAAGCACCAGTGCTTTTCCCATATCAAGTGCTTTTCCCATATCAACTATCCTGTATGAACGAATAACAATACATACTTTGAAAATGATTTCTAATAATATCAACTATTTGAATATATACAACAAAATTAATATGGAGCCACTTTTTGACAAGAAATACAATCATTAAAAACATCAAATAACTTATATCAAACCATCAAATAAATGATATTTGACAATAAGGTCATTTATTTAATATTTTGATACTAATTTTTGGTGAATTGAATTGGATTTTTAGTGAAGTTCCTCTATATCACTTTTGTTATATACTCATTGGGTTGGTATTTTTAAATGTTATCTCCAAAGTATGTATTATTCTTAATTCATTGAAGATAAGTTGCATTATTTAAAGTTATTTTCCCACAATAAAAGTATTTATTTTTTATATTAGTAAACCTTGTACTTTTCTTGTTCTTTATTTAGTGTAACTTTCATTCATATCTCATATATTATCATGTGAAAGTCTTATATTAGATCGAATGTGTACCATCGCTATTTAAATATGTGCTGATATTTGTCGCAATGTTAATGATTTTTTTTTTATGAAATTAGGAAAATAGGGTCTAGCCCTTATATACATGTGCAATTTTTACTGGGAAAATTTGACTTTGTACTCTATTTTCAAACAAGGTCGGTCCTGTCAACTTTTGGGCCTAAAGACGATATACTATTTTGGGCTTATTTTCAAGACTTGCAGTAAATTATACTCACTTAAACTAAAAAATATAGTAAACTATCTAATAAGGATTATGAAATAAAGATGAAATTCACTTTATTCTTAATTAAACTACATATCAACGCAAAAATAACAACACAAATATCACAAAAAACATAACTTAAAAACATTTTTCGCAGAACATTGTGAAGCGAAATCATCAATAATTGATGCATTATCATTTTTGTAAAGATCTAATGCTCAATGCTTAAAATTGCTAATCCATTAAGCTTTTTTGAGACACAATCGATTGTAGAAAATCAAGATGGGGTTTGGGAGTTGGGAGACACGGGCTACCCAAGACAATAATATAAATTGGTAATTTTAATTAAATAGAATAAAAAAGCTTTAAAGGCGAAAAAATATAGGAAGACGTGCTTTTATTGGTTAACAACAAATGTCTTGACCTACGAAATTAAATGTATACTCTTTTTTAACCTTGTTTAAGGCTCTAAGTGGCTCCGATCAAGGCTTTTTACTTATGCTTTAAAAAATTTAAATTGTCAACAAATATTAAACATTGGGTATTAATTGACTTTATAAACAAAAAGAAACTTACTGACATTAGATATAAAGAAAAAAATTTGGGCCTAATTTTCTTTCTATTTTTTTCTGTGCCTAGGGTGGTCGCCCCTACTGCCCTCCTCCTAGGGCCGGCCCTGTTTTCAAACTCAGGTATGCACCCCATTTCACAATAAAATCATTTGACTTTGTACCTTAATCTTTCACATGTTTTCGGTTGATGTGGCTCACACATTAGTGATTGTGAAAATGGGGTGCAAAGTCCAATATAATCCAAAATATGGAGTGCAAATTCAAATTCCCCCTTTATTTTATTTTTGAATCCTCTATTTTTAAGTTGATACAAATGATAGCTTGTCAAATAGTAAAAGTAATTATATCGAATCAACGTATATAATGTACATATTTTCAAGAAAAAGTACCATTGAGCATTTTATTCGACCGCGCAACGCGCGTGTATAAAACTAGTACTTAGTAATACAAACCAAAGTTAGGGTATTATTATGGAGTATTATTTTATCATCTAGTGTAATTCTTTATTGTAATTATTAAACCTATTATTATGGAGTCTTATTTTATCAACCAACTTCTTTATTCATGTTTTTTGTATAGTAAATAGACGGGAGAATTTGACTTTGCACCCCACATTTGGGATGAAATTGGACTTTGCACCCTATTTTAAAAAAACTTTGATTTTGCACCCCATTTCACTTCAAAATCCTTTGACTTTGCACTCCATTTTGAACTTTTCCTTCACAAATGTTAAATGATAGGGTACAAAGTCAAATGTTTTTTAAAATGTGGTGCAATGTCCAATATCACCCAAAAAGTGAGGTGCAAAGTCAAATTCTCTCTAAATAAACCTGTAAAAATTTTTCGTGAAAGGAAAAATCGCTTATATTAATATCATTAGTATCAGATCGTTACAACAAATTCAAAAAGACCAACACTGACAACAACTATCTGTAATCAATTAGCACTATCAAACATACGACTAGATTAGAAACGATCACCACTAAAAGAGCAATATGAATTGCTAACCACCAAACAGGCGTAACATGTTAATCAATGGCCATGTAGATGCTTCTAATGACCTAATGTCTAGCAGAATTGTCAATCCTTATTGTAGACCTAAAACTAAAGCCATCAACAAAAAATAGAACAACATAAACAAACTTAACACAAAAGTAAGACCATAAAAAATAAAATACTCCAAGCTTCTTTTTTCCAGTATTCTTGAAGTATCACCTTCCAAATGCTAGCACATTGGTCGCTCCAGAGTGTCGGTTCAGGAGGGGGGCGGACCACTGATCTGTCTTCTCCCTTGCTTAGACCTCGAACCAGAAATTGCCAGATGATTTTCCAATCGAAGGTATCAATTACAGACCTCTAGATTTGATCTATATCAGCACATCCAGAAGCATCAACCATAGAGAACCAGACCATGGAGAGTCATAGCGTGGTAATGTCCGCCCTCCCACTATCACTCCAAATCATTCGCTGAACAAGAAATGACGCAAGGCGCATGCCGGAAAGACAAATCCTAGACGAAAGATGCACATCTAATTAGTCATCATAATTAATATGAAAAACTTCAAGAATATAGATGTGAAGGTGATGAGGCGGAAGATGAATTGGGTTCAACGAACTCTAAAGCTGCATCGGCGGCAATAAACCTGTAAACCTATTATTTGTGCTTTTGAAAAATTTATTTCTATTGAAATATAAGAAAAGAGTTCCCCTAAAATATTACTAATAAAAAGATGTTATGAATAAAAATATAACTTGGTAACTATTAGTGATGTAATTATGTTCAAAGTTACATCCCAGTGACTACATGTGAAGTTACTGTGATGTAACTTTGAATGCAATTATAGTAAATAATAGTTATCAAGTCACATTGGTGTCCATCACTTTTCTAGAATTAATATTAGTTGAATTGTTTTTATATAAAGGTGTAATTTTGTATGTAATGTAATGTAATACTCCGTATTACATTTACATACAAAATAATTGTAGAAAAATTAAAATAATAGTAAAAAACTAAAACACATTTTCACGTCTAAACCTATTTAGGCTTTAAAGGCTTTGAGCTTGGTTGTAACGTAGGGTCACGCCTTACGTCTATTAGAACATTGACGCATCATGAGGCGCTCCAAGATCACGGAACTGGTTCCGTAGATGTCAGAAATGGGGGGATAAATGAAAAGTCTAGAAACAGTAAAGAAAATAAAAGACTATCTAAAAAATTTAATAAGAACACGTTTGGTAACACTGAAATTGGTTGAATCGACTGATTCTGTTAAAATTTATGAAATTCTGGTTGAGTGGCTGGATCATTAGCTGATTCTGTTGATTTATGAGGAAAACTTTTAAAATATTTGTTATTAATAGAATGAAGAAAAAATTATACGAAAAATAGTTAAAATGACAATCTACACCAGTTTCAGCCAATACAATAAGAAAAGCAACGTCAACCTTACTTTTTCTTATTACCCAGTATTACACAATTCAACACGCAAAATCAAAAGTTACATGTTTGATGAAAAAATTGGCCAATAAACTTTATAAGTCGAAAAACATGATTATCACGCTCTAAAAATAATGTAAATTGATAATTACATAAAATGAAGAGCTTATCTAACTATCTAAGGGAGATGAAAAGGTGACCTAGGAGTTAACTCAAATAAGCCCTCGAACTATATGCGATTTTGCAATAAGGCCCCTAAACTGGAAGAATTACAAATACACCCATCAACTAATTGAAAATCAAGCAATCATGTCCTTTTTTACCCGCTGGTGTCGGTAGTTTCTCATCTCCTTACATGCACCTGTAAGTAAAAAAGGACCTGATTACTTGATTTTCAATGACTTGAGGGGCGTATTTGTAATTCTTCCGGTTCAGGGCCTCATTGCAAATACACAAATAGTTCGAGGGTTTGACTAAAGTTATACTACCTCCGTCCCAATTTACTTAGCCAAACTTGACTTTTCAAGTCAACGGCGTCTAACTTTGACCAATTATTTTAACTAATATATTTATGCAAAATTTAATAATTTTATACTTTTATGATAGTATTTTTAACAAAGAACATTTTCATATCAATTTCATATTATCAATACTTTCTCTATATACACATATAATTGGTCAAAGTTAGACGCCGTTGACTTGAAAAGTCAAGTTTGGCTAAGTAAATTGGGACGGAGGGAGCATGAAGTACTTATGTTTGCGGTTGTTGACTTGTTGGCGTTGTTGCCTGTATATTCCCTATATAAAATTCGGATCTGGAAACGTATATTCTTGTAAAGACTGAAGAAGTTCTGGTGAATGGAGACGACCGCGGAGCTCCCATGGGACCTAATCGTGCAGATTCTTCGCCGGTTACCTGTGAAAGATCTGCTGCGCTACATGTGCGTATCGAAGTCATGGTGCTCCCTGATCAACGGCCTTGATTTCATCAATCTGCACCTCAAACACATTCCGGAATCTCCTTCCCAGTTGGGGTTCGTGTCCGGAGACGACAACAATCTCTGCTGGACTGCTTCGAATGATCTCGACTCTTTCGTTCGACTCACTTGCCCAATAGACTTAGGAACTGGGGTCAGCGTTCTCGGAAGCTGCAATGGATTGCTTGCTATTATGAACCCCGATTCGGATATGGCGATTTGGAACCCTTTCATTCGAAGGTACATCACTTTACCCATCTCTGATCATTTCCATTCTATTCCCGAGCATGAAATCCATGTTTTTCTCACCGGATTTGGACACGACCCGGTCACTGACGACTATAAGTTGATGATATTAATCGACCCTCATGAGCGTTTAACTGATACTATTCACGGCGAGGTCAAGATTTATAGTGTAAATGGCAAATCGTGGAAAAAAATTGATGATTTCCCAAAACACTTTGATTACCATTCTTTTAATGGTGTCCTTTGTGGCAATGCTTTGCACTGGTTGGTAAATTCAAGGCGTGATAATTCTTACTTGATTTTGGCCTTTGATCTTGTGACTGAAACTGCCCGGGAGATTCAGCTGCCTCTAAAGCATTGTCCTTGTCTGCAGCTTGTGAATCTAGAAGGCTCACTTTGTGCTGTAATCTATAATGTTAGATTTTCATATTTTGAGGTGTGGGAGATGAAGGAATATGGGATCAAGGAGTCTTGGGCTATGTTGTCTCCTCTTCCAACTCCCCCCTTGTTAGAATTCCCGTTTTTCAAGAATGGTGATCATGTTTTGTTTCATAACTGTGAAACCCTCTTCCTCTATGATATCAAAACAAAGGTTTCGAACAAAAGGGAGGTCGCAGGTTCCGATTTTCCCAGAATTTGTCACGCCCGTGTTTGGGTTTGTGTTAAGAGCCTGGTGGGACTTCATTTTAGTGAAAGTACTTCAAATGGGAAGGAGCACGCTGCTACACACCGAGATGATTTCCTAAGCTAGGGATTTAAATTGGGTTTAAAAGGTCGAGCAGAAAAGTTAGTAGCAAGACAGCAGAAGCTCTCATTTTGGTTACAGGAATCGAGTTTTGTGGGATATTCAGACATGGATTCATGATGAAATTCGAAAATTTTGCTGATGATAGTGATTTGTCTCTGACATTAGTTTATAGTTTATGTTTCCCGGATGACTCTGTAATCAGTGTTGCTTACATAATTGTTATCTATATTTTGTGGATTTGACTTTGGATATTCAAACATAATTTGACTTTGGATTCTATTTTCGGAGTGATATATGGATTTGTACTTTATTTCCAAAATCATTAATGTTTGCATCCAAAATCATTAGTTTTGGAGTGAGTCCGGTTCTGTTTTGACATAAAATCAAATGTCGAACCCAAAGTGAAAAGTTTGGTTCAATTTTATCTTTCAAAATGTGAAACCAGGGTTTCTTTGGTTCGTTTTATTTCAGTTCGATTTATTTTATTTGAGTACATGAGTTCAGTTTTCGCGGTTTGATTTTTATCCAAAGCCTAATCTTTACATTTAATATAATATAAAGTAGCAAAGTTACTACAACTTTTGGACTTTTGGAGGGAAAATTCTCGCTCAAATAAAGGGCATATACTCTTTAAAAAATGCTACTGAAATAGAAATTTAAAAAAAAATGACTAAAAGTAGTAATATATAGTGTCATATTCTTAGGTATAAAAATTGTACAAAAGTTATTATGACTAAAGTTACTACGGAGTACTATATTCACTAAAGTTACTATCATGTATGTTTAATTTTAATCATAAATATGTAACTTTTTTCTTCTTATTTTGTTCAATTATACACTACTATAGTGTTTAAGATCAGAAGTTGTGAATAGAGTGACTTTCACAACTTATGGATGTATGGTAGGATTAGTGGTGGACCCGGTTCTCGGGTCCGGGTCCGGTTCGGGCACCGAACTGGTGGGGGTGGCGGGTCCGGGCTCGGGCCTAACGGTCCAATTTTTTTTTTTTTTAAAAATTCCTTTTAAATTAAAAAAGCCTTTTGAGCACTTGACCCACTTCCCAAACGGCTATATAGCCGTTGGGTGGGTACCGGGGGGTCTCTAGGTGTGAAATCCGGAGTTTATAGCATGCCTTAAAACATCCTCAATATCAGCACAAGCATGAAAACTATGTGTATTAGTTTTTAAATTCCTTCTTTTGGCCCGTAAGTTCGGTGAAATGCTTAGATGAAATGTACCTGACTTTGCTTAAATAGTTGATTCCGTAAAGTTGTACCTGATTTAGTAAAACCATTATAACCAGTGCAGCTGTGCAGAAGATATGCATTGGTGAATGGTGACATTATGATTAAAATGCTGTTGCGTCCTTCACTGCTGAAGTCTTGATAATCCTTCAAATGATGGCTTACATATGTTCTCTTCTCAAGTTATATGACATAGATGGAAAGTACAATGATTGAAAACTCTTCTCCAACAAAACCTAAATGGAGGAAAGTTGCTTATGGGGGGATGCAACCTGGTTTTGATGACAATCATACAGATGAATCTTTCCTAGAAGATATGATTATGAACGCCAATGTGGTCAAAAGAGACTTGTTAAAGGTGATCCTTGATTCAGTTTCCATTTCTCAGTATATTTCCACTGTTTGTCTTGTGGTTTTGGTTTGGACCTATACACTCCGATCTACCTTGAATGAAAATTCACTTTTAGTTCTAAATGTTAGCCTTCTTGGGTTGGGTTTTTTCATTCTTCTCTTGACTGCAGACTCAATCTCCTTTAATATTCTTCTCAGTTATACCCTCAAGATTTCATTTTTCATGACTGGGTGGTACATGTTGTCTCCTATCTTCCATACACTCACCCGATCCATAGCCTCAGATTCTATATGGGCACTAACAGCTTGTCTCCTCATTATAAACCTCTTCCTGCATAATTACTCGGGATCAACCGTAAAAGCTCCTGGAAGTCGAGAAAACCCAACCCTTATGAGCAACATCTCTTTGAATGATTCTATAGTGGCTTCACTTCTAATTGCCTCTCGCCTTCCATCAAGGCTTCAGGTATTTGCCATTGTGTTGTTCTCCTTGCAAGTTTTTCTATTTGCCCCATTTGTCACCTACTGTGTGAAGAAGTTCTCATTCAAATTGCACCTTTTTCTCTCTTTCGGGTTAATGGTCTTGTCCTTAGTTCTCCTTTACTGGTTACACACACTGCTCTTTATTTTGTTGTTGGCTGTGTTTGTCTTTGTCAATTTGGTCTGCCCTTATTGGCTGATACGACTTCAAGAGTACAAGTTTGAGATTAACGGTCCCTGGGATGAGGCCAAGCTCTGTTTTGCCATCACAGAATGAACACCAAAGACTATATATAATGTTGTGATGGTGATGTTATCAAGAATGGAAAAATGTAAGGGGTATTTTGCATGAAGATCTGATATACAGATTGGAGATACCCTTTAAGCAGTCTCTTAACTATATAAGATTGCAGAGGGAAAGGGTATGATTTGGCTCTGAGTCCCAGTGATAAAGTATGAGTCAATATTGTACAATCATGATGCTCGACATAGACGCAGAGATGTTTACAAATACCGCACAAAGTATAATTTGATACCGATTAAGTTGCAAAAGCTAATATCATGAATTAGTTACTTCGTATAATGCATCACTCTCTAGAAATACACGGATTGTTTTTTAAATTATGTTTAAAAACAGTCCATTAATGTGTGTGATCAAATAAAAACTCATCTATAGCGTCAAATACAAGAATACAAAAATACATTCATCATCCATTCAGTGAAATTGTCTATATATAATGATTTAGGTGAAATATAGTAACAAAAGACATACTAGTACATATATAAATTTAAACGTGAGAACTTCAATGAGCTGGACTTGTGCGAATTTGGGTTCAATTCTCAGTAGGAGTGGAGTCAAAACCTTTCAAGTAAAATAAGTTCATGTTATGATTCTATTTTGGAGGAATTGGTTCGAACACGGAACAGAACAAGTGGTTAATTATTTCACTCAACCTATTTGATCTGGTCTGATGTCAGAACTGGAAATTGTTTGCCCATACTGCCATACATCAAATGGATTTAAAACAATGATGGAGATCAATCATCCTTCAGCGTATGCAGTATGATTTTTATTTTAAAAGAGGCCTGCTTCCCAAAAGTAGGAGTCTTATTATTCACTATATCTAGTGGTTGACCCGGTTCGGGCCGCCCGGCCCGAGACCGTCCCGGCCCGTTACTGTGCGGGCCCAGAACCGGCCCGGTTCTCGGGTCCGGTTCGGGCACCGAACCGGTGGGGGTGACGGGTCCGGGCTCGGGTGTGTAGTTTTTGGCGGCCTGGTCCGGCCGGGTCGGGCCCGGGCCTAACGGTCCAATTTTTATTTTTTATTTTTTTTCCTTTTAAATTAAAAAAGCCTTTTGAGCACTTGGGGGGTAGGGGGTGGGGTGGGGGGGTGGGGGTTAAAAAAAACTATAAATACTCCTAATTTTAAACATTTTTTTACACCTCTTCTCCAACTCTTCCTAAATCCTACTCTCTACTCATCTCCATATTCATCTTCTCAAATTCTCTTATTCTCCATTATATTTTATTTTATTATTTAATACTTATACAATTATTATATCTACTTATATATTAATTATCTACTTATAAATACATATAGAAATAATTACATAAATATGACTAAAATAAAGACGAATTACAAAAATATGATTAGTTACTAGAGTAGTAATGAAATCATATTAATTCATGTTCAAGTTTTGAACTTAAGTTACCACAACACTACGTTGTAGTAATGAATAGTCATATTTATGTAAGTAAGTTTTATTTTAGTAATATTCTTGTAAAAAACCCATACATATACTATATTACTTATATTTCTTATCTACTTAATCTCTACTTATATCTCTTAATACATACATACATACTATATCTACTTAATATATAGGGAAAATGGAAATTAATAATCCAACCTTTTAGCGGTCTTCTTTCAATAATCCCACCTTTTGATTATTCATGAATAATCCAACTTTTGCACCCCATCTTCATTTGTTGGTCCCTTATCGGTTAATGACTTGCTATTCCAAGTTATTTTCTTATCTTTGCAAAATATTATCTTTGTGAAAGATGAGATTTATGATATAATGATTTGCAAAGATAAGAAAATAGCTTGGAATAGCAGGTCATCAACCGGTCAGGGACCAGTGAATGAAGATGAGGTGCAAAGGTTGGATTATTCATGAATAATCAAAAAGTGGGATTATTGAAAGAAGACCGCTAAAAGGTTGGATTATTAGTTTCCATTTTCCCTAATATATATATATACTTTATATATTAAAGTATTAAATATACTTTATAAACTATTACTATATACTTAATACATAATAATATCTACTTCTCTACTTATATTTCATATATACTTATTTTCTTATTCTCCTATCTCCAATTCTCCATTATACTCTAATATTTAATTCTTATACAATTATTATATCCACTTAATAGCTAATACATACATTCTACATCTACTTAATATATAGTTTATATATTAAAGTATAAAATATAAGTGTATTACTCATCTTATAGTGGTATACTTATATATTATATACTATAAACATTATATTATATATTAGTTACTATAACTAGTATTATACTAGTTAATTAGTTAATTAGTATTCTTGTTACATTTTTCATTATACTAGTTAATTAGTTAATTAGTATTCTTGTTACACATTTCATTATACTAGTTAATTAGTTAATTAGTTAATTAGTATTCTTGTTACATTTTTCATTATACTAGTTAATTAGTTCATTAGCATTCTTGTTACATTTTTCATTATACTAGTTAATTAGTTCATTAGCATTCTTGTTACATTTTTCATTATACTAGTTAATTAGTTCATTGGCATTCTTGTTACATTTTTCATTATACTAGTTAATTAGTTAATTAGTATTCTTGTTACATTTTTCATTATACTAGTTAATTAGTTAATTAGTATTCTTGTTACATTTTTCATTATACTAGTTAATTAGTTTATTAACATTCTTGTTACATTTTTCATTATACTAGTTAATTAGTTCATTAGCATTCTTGTCACATTTTTCATTATACTAGTTAATTAGTTCATTAGTATTCTTTTTACATTTTTCATTAAACTAGTTAATTAGTTCATTAGCATTTTTGTTACATTTTTCATTATACTAGTTAATTAGTTCACTAGTATTCCCATTAATTGCTAAAACAACTCTACTTCAAAAAACTAGTTAATTGTCATTATAGTTAAAGTCACATTATAATATTTTCAATTTATATTTGAACGAAAAAATAGTAGTTCAATCATTTAATTAAAGTACTTAACATTTTATTTAAGTAGTTTTTACTAAATTAAAGTACTTGAAAAGTTGCTATAATTTTAATTTTAGAGTCACACATTAATTCTACTTTGCACTAAATTAGTTTGAAGTATTAATTAAAATAGTTTTAATTAGTTGCATTAGTTTTCTATTCATTATTATATTTGTTGCGAATTAATATTTGTTACATTTTTAAGATGGAAGGTGGTAGATATTCGGTTGATTTGGGTAACCTCCAACGCAATCGAAGGAACGAGATTGGGAGGAAGAAATCCCGCAAAGGTAAAGAACTTGCCGGCTCTTCATCTCAAAGCCAAGATGATTTTGAAAAGGGTTACCAAAGGCGAGATGGAGATGCGATGTCCGAAACTTTTTAATGCAACTGAAACTTTTAGTCATGTTTGTAAACCTACCGCAAACCAATTTATTCGTGAAGTTGTTAATCTCGCCGGTGCTTTTACAGAATTTGAGAATGCCGTTTTCGTGAGTTATTTTTGTGATTATATGAAGGAAAAGTTTTTAAAATATTATGCGCATATTCCCCATATTTATGGTATTGCATTTATTCTCGATCCTCGTTTTAGACTTGCTAATTTGGAAGATTGTTTCAACTTCTATTATCTTGCGTTTTTTGGTGAATTTCCAATGTATGACGAGAACCCCATAGATCCGAAAACGGAATACAACGAGGTTAGTGCTTTATTTTATGCCTTATTTAATGAGTTTCGTGCACAATATATCAATGCTCCCCCTCCCCCGTCACGAACATCTTCATCTAAAGGAAAATCGATTTTTAAATCTGCATTTGGCAATCTTATGAAAAAAACTAAAACAACTCACGTCACTGAACAAAGCGCATTGAATGAGATTACTTTGTATTTAACATATGAAGTTGATTTTGAAGAAAACGATGACTTTGACGTTCTAGACTGGTGGAAGTCAAAAGAAAGAACGTTCCCGATTTTAGCACGGATGGCTAAGCAAGTACTATCAATGCCGGTTTCAACAGTTGCTGTGGAACAAAAATTTAGTTCGGCCGGCAACGTCCTAACGGCATCTAGATCGAGTTTGAGCGCGGAGTCTCTTGAGTTGCTTATATGCTACCATGATTGGTTGAAGGCCGCACATAGAACTCAAGAAATGAGCATCACCCCCTCCCAAGATTTTATGGATGACTCAACAACCGATGGTGGCTCTACCTATGCCGGAGATTCCGATTGATTAGTATTTTAGAATTTATTATAAAATGTATTTTGTAGCACTTGTCAAATTAATTTATACTTGTACTTCATATTTCAAAATTGTAAACTTGTACTTCATATTTCAAAATTGTAAATTTGTAGTTGTACATCAAATTAATTTGTAAACTTGTACTTCATATTTCAAATAAATATGCGTTCATTTTTTCATATGTAGCACTTCTCAAATTAATTAATTGGTTACAAACTTACGACTTACTTAAATCAAAGAGAAAACTCTCAGATAGGCCCTCGTACTTTAACAAATTTCTCAATTAAGCCCTCGCACTTAGTAATCACTCAATGAAGTCCATCAACTAACCAAAATTGCGCAATCAGGCTTTTTAGCCGGTGGGATGCCGGTTTGCCTGTTACCCGCTGAGCTGGACGCCCACGTGTCCCTCCCTTACCCGGCCTTTTAATTGATGTGGCTAAACCACTTATAAACTAACTAACTAAAGCCTAAATCTTAAAAGCTTTACTAACCTTCTAATTCAGACCTAGCCTTCGTCATATTCACAAAACTAACGAAGTCATGATGCAGATGGTTAGAGGAGATATATACTTAGGTCGTGCGTGTTCAAGCAAAGTGTTATGAAGCGCTGTTAGGGTCGTTGTTCAAAGGCGCAAGTTGCTGCGAAGTACTGCGAAGTCCAGTAAGGTACCTTCTTCTACCTACCCTGTTAATATTTCGATTTTGGTAGTAATTCTGCTATGCGATTTGTTCTGCACTTTCAAAGACTTGCCTTATTATGTGTGTTGTGACTAATGTTCGGACATATTGTCATGATACAACCCCAATGCTGACCCTTTAAGTACTTCAATTTTGTGCACTTGGAGAACTGAAGTTTGTGACTTTGTGTAATTAAAGCTGACACTTTAAGTAGCTGACCCTTTGACACATTTTGTACTTTAACTAATGGCCTATGCTTTAGTTAGATGTCATGCTTTAATGTGTTGGTGTTATATTTCTAGAATGTAGAATGTGTGAAGTTAAATGATGTTGTTATGTTGTTATATTTGTAGAATGTTTGACACAGTTGAACTACTACTACAC